AGCAGCAGCAGCAGCAGCAGCAGCAGCAGCAACAGCAGCAGCAGCAGCAGCAGCAGCAGCAGCAGCAGAGTACCTTGCGTCTCCAACGAAAGCAGCATTTAGCCAGGAGTCGACGCAAATAGAACTTATAGGCACTTGGGGCTCCACCTCTATACATAAAAAAAATAAAAAAAAAAAAAAAATAAAAATAAAAATAAATAAATAAATAAATAAATAAATATAAATATACATGTAGATGTATGTGTAAATAAATATTAAGGGAAATAGATTAAGGAGAGGGATAGAGGAGACAGAAAAAAGGAGACAAATAAAGGAGACAGATAAAAAGAGACAAACAAAAGAAGAAAGGAGACAGAAAAAAGAAAAAAGGAGACAAAAAAAGAAATAGACAAAAAAGGAGAAAGGAGACAAAAGGAGACAGTATACAAGAGAAGAAAGCAGACAAAAGAGGAGACAAAAAAGGAGAAAGGAGACAAAAAAAAAGACAAAAGAGGAGAAAGGGGACAAATAAAAGGAGACAAAAAGAGGAGAAAGGAGACAAACAGAAAAGAAAGAAGAACAGAAAGGAGACAAAAAGAAAAGGAGAAAGGAGACAAAAGGAGACAAAAAAAAAGAGAAAGGAGACAAAAAAAAGAGAAAGGAGACAAAAGGAGACAAAAAAAAGAGATAAAGGAGGCAAAAGAAAAGAGAAAGGAGACAAAAAAAAAAGAGAAAGGAGACAAAAGGAGACAAAAAAAAAGAGAAAGGAGACAAAAGGAGACAAAAAAAAGAGAAAGGAGACAAAAAAAAAGAGAAAGGAGACAAAAAAAAGAGAAAGGAGACAAAAAAAAAGAGAAAGGAGACAAAAGGAGACAAAAGAAGGAGAAAGAAGACAAAAGGAGACAAAAAGAAAAGAAGAAAGGAGACAAAAAAAAGGAGAAAGGAGACAAAAGGAGACAGCAGCAAATACCCCTAATGTAGTTTCTGATGAGCCTGCAGGAGACAGCTCCATCTGCTGCGTCTCTCTCAAGGCGACGAACACATATAGATCCATCCATACAACCCTAAACACAAACACAAGCTGCTGCTGCTGCTGCTGCTGCTGCTGCTGATGGTGGTGGTGGTGGTGGTGATGGTGGTGGTGGTGGTTGTGGTGCTGCTGCTGCTGCTGCTGATGGTGGTGGTGGTGGTGGTGGTGTTGCTGCTGCTGCTTTTGCGGGGCTCAAGAGATGAGACACAACAACAGCAGCAGCAGCAGCAACAGCAGCAACAGCAGCAGCAGCAACAGCAGCAGCAGCAGCAACAGCAGCAACAGCAGCAGCAGCAACAGCAGCAGCAGCAACAGCAGCAGCAGGAACCGCAGCAGCAGCAACAGCAGTAGGAACAGCAGCAACAGCAGCAGCAACAGCAGCAGCAGCAGCAGCAGCAGCAGCAGCAGGAGACGCACTGCTAGCAAGATAGTGGAGCGGAGCTCCCAAGCCTCGGGGGCCTCTAAAACATAAAGAAAAGACAGAGGAGAAGAGCAGGTCAGTGCTGCTGCATCCATCCTGCAGCAGCAGCAGCAGCAGCAGCAGCAGCAGCAGCAACAGCAGCAGCAGCAGCAGAAGCAGGAGATAAATGCGAGCATTTTGATGTGTGTGTTTTTTATTTACAATAAATAATTTATTGGAGAGAAAAGGAAAGAGACAGAAAAAGACAGAGACAGACAAAAGGAGACAGAGACAAAAGGAAAAGGAGACAAAGACAAAAGGAAAAGGAGACAAAGACAAAAGGAGACAGAGACAAAAGGAGACAGAGATAAAAGGAGACAAAGACAAAGACAAAAGGAGACAGAGAGACAGAGAAAAGGAGACAAAGAGACAGACAAAAGGAGACAAAGATAAAGCGAGGAGACAAAAACAAAAGGAGACAAAAACAAAAGGAGACAAATACAAAAAGATTAAATAACTAAATATTTGAATTAATTAATTAA